TAATTCCCTGTCCTGACACCCCAAAGTACAAAAAAAAAAAAGAAAATTTTACATGCAATATTAATTGTAATACGCACAAACTGAAAAAGACATGCACAAATTACTACTCTAACTAAGACTAGAATCCATGACACCTACCTTTATGAAGATCTGTGATGATTTGAAGGGAAGGGAAGGAGGGTAGTGTGTGCAGTTATTGTTTAGCAGGGGAGATCCCCTTCCATTAGGAACTTAAGGTAGCAAGTCCTTTTCCTGGGTTACTTTTCCCCTTCTTTAATCCAACAAGGACCAGCTTGAGAGTCACTGGACCTCTTCGCACAACAAATCTGTCCATACAGAGCTCTGTAACCCCCCGTTCCTTTAAGACTTTTCCTAAAATGGGCCAATAATCATTGTCCATTGTACAGTTGCCAACACGGCTTGCAGTAGCTGTGTCAGGCAATGTTCATCCAAAAGGGGTTTGAAGTTCAACCCCACTTTTGCACCATTTCCTTAATCTCTCTTTCAATTCCATACTAATTTCTCGCGCCCTTTACCACAAGGATGGCACTAGAAGCTTTCTTGGTCATGGTAACATATTTTGGCAGTGTTCCTTCTTTCCACAAACCTGCCGTATCCCACCAAGGCAGGGTGGCCCAAAAGAAAAACAAAGTTTCTCTTTTTTTTTTTAAATTTATAATTTTACAGAAGATGGGGTTACTAGCCCCTGCTCCCGCAATTATAGTCGTCTTTTACAACACGCATGGCTTACGGAGGAAGAATTCTGTTCCACTTCCCCCCATGAGTAAGAGGAAATAACACGAACAAGAACTAGAAAGAAAAAGCAAAAACCCAGAAGGGATGTGTGTGTAAATAATATGCTTGTTACATGTATTGAGTGTGACCTAAGTGTAAGTGTATGCAGGTACAAGAAGCGCTAAAAAAACACTGGATAATGTGAAATGTACCGAATTAGCGTTAATTGCACTGCACTGGCAAGCGTGTAAACACTGGCACGAGGCCACATAATGGGACCGTCCCCAGATGAATCACGTAAGGCGAGTTTTTTATCGTGAGGCAAGCAGAATTGTTGCGTTCAATGCTTCGTATGGCGGATTAACTAACGTTATGCACTCGTAAGGGGGGGTCCACTGTACTTGCGTATTATTATTATTATATTATAAATTTAGGGAACTGAAGCTCAATCGTTATTATTATATAATTATTAATTTAGGCAACTACAGCACAGATCCAATCCCTAGATCAAGAGCCCCTCACACAGCGTCGAGTGAACCTTGACGCTGGTGAGGATCTTGATCAGGGAACTGATCTGTGCTTAGGACCTAAATTAATAATAATAATAATAGTAATATAAATAATAATAATATTATTATTAGAACGAAACGCTGCCAACTCCGTGCACTGTTACCTCACTGTGGGACAATTCTCTCGTGCTATGTCTTACATTTTTTGACAGTCATTTGGCCAAATTTTGGTTTTTCTAAGCATGGGTCCTAAGAAAGTACGTCTAAAGGACATTCCGAGGAAAAAAAGAGAAGATACATGGATTTAAAGTCATGAAATCATAGATAAACAAGAGCGAGGTGTCCAGGTTTTGCATTGATGGGGAGCAGGGGACCTGGCTCATAACTCAAACGTTTGGCATGTAACTCAAGAGCAAAAAATCGACCCAGGGATGACCGTATTTCAAAAACTTGTACATTGGGCACTGCTCGTAATCAAGGTTCCACTGTATTTTATAAAGGGAAGCATTATACCCATGGTCATGAAGCACTGTTTTGACGGCTGTGTGTTTTGTTGTAAATAATGTAGTGAAGTAGTATAATTGTTTGCATTTGTGTAATTGGGACATACCCAAGGTAACATGGACTGAGAGCAGGGTGACTCGGTGCTGGTACCAAGGTGGCCCTCATTCACTTTATCCCCCCCAAATCCATCAGCCCCAAAGCTCCCCTAATAAAAAGTAGTATTAATAACGTTTCAAACAAGCCCCCCCCCCCTCCGCCCCCAATGAACCACACAGTAGCATCTTTGCCCTTGGTATGGAAACTGCGCCACATCCTTATATTGTCGTGTTGCACGTGGGTGTGTGGGGGGTGTGTGTGGGGCAAAAGTTTGTTGAACATATTAATTTTTCTGCATTGAGCAAAGCACACTTAGTTGCTCTCGTAATTTTTGTTTGGAAGGGGTCGAGTTATAGCTCCTGGCTCCTCTTATCCAGCTGGTCTCATTGGATGTTTGGCCTCTTGGAACCTGATTGTATCTATCTCTTAAAGGAGCTGTATATGTTTGCCCTCTGCCACTTCTTCAATTTAGTGGCATTTTATACATTTTTCCTGACTGAAGAATTATTTGTCTTTAATTGTCCTCATAGCTGACTGTCCTTGACTGCCATCGATGTCTCTGGTGGTGGATGGGGGGGGAACAAAATGGAAATCAATTCTTAGTGGATATGGGATTTGTAATGCTGCCTAAGTCTACACAATTGTCCCATACATTGTACAGGTATTCATGGGAAAGGACCGAAGCCAGAAAGATCATTTGATATCTAGGGCATGGGGGGGGGTTATCAGGTTTGATCCAAGAAGAGAAGGTAGCTCAGATTTCCTTGAATGAGGAACCCTTCACTGAAAGTTATTGTTTGCCCCCTTTAGAAGTGTTTCATATGAAGTGCAAGTATAGATATAAACATAGATTGATTTAAAATGTTTTTTAATCAGGTTATAAAAAATTTAACTTTGGTGAACTATAAGAGACTTGTCACATTTATTATCAAAGTAAATACTTAATTTTTGTTCAGTGACAGTGCACCGGCTGGGAACAAGGAAAGTTGTGTTGGCGGCAGCGGTGGCAGGAGAATCCTGGGATGGATATCCTGCAGAAACAGGAGACATGTTTTACCTCGATGAGAGACAGTACGAGATGGCAAGAATTGCACAACATACCCACAAAGGCTTTGGTCTTGGCTTCACCAGTCACTCATTCATGCCCAAGTAGCAGCGCTCTCCTATTACCACTCATCGCAGGGAATGCTATGCTGTAGAGGGTCATTAGCATTTGGGAGGTTATCAGATTTGGAACTAGAAAGGGAGAATAGCAGCAGTTCCTTGATCTAAGAAAGTCCCCTCACTGGCATCAAGGCTCACCCGGGATGCTAAAATTATCTCAAAGTTGTTGTCCCATAATTTTTTTAAATATATATTTTAATTTTTTGTTGCAGTTTCTTGTTGAGCTTTATGATGTCAAATATTGATGACATTCTCAAGTGCAAGCATTGTTATCACTTTTATTGACAATCACTTGTGTAATAATTTATTAAGGTAAAAGAACAAGTTTTGGATAATATTGCTAGATCATGTTCAATTTATTGAAAGTTGTAGTTTCTCTATAATCAAGTTTCTTTTATGTGAATGATTATTTAGTACTGTTCATGGCATTTCACATTCTGTACAGTTATTTTGAATGGATCTTAAATTTTAAAGATGCTGTACTTAAAGGTTACATTTCTAACACAGAAGTCTTTGTTTGAGTGATAAAATGACTGAATTGTAAATATTTAATACGTCCTGTTTTTTTTATGCTTATAAATACTAAGCCATGTTATGCTGTCGTGTGACATTGGTGATGTGCACAGCACTATCAGCAGCTCTGCGGCTCATCAAAGGAAAATAGCAATGAATGAGTTTCAACATAGGGCTCATAGTGACAAACAATTATCTAGTCAGGAGTTGTATGAGATGCAGTTGGTTTTACTAGTTTTAAACTGCCAGAAACGAAATTTGTTATAGGAGCACATGGTTAGTTGGTGTTAGCACAAAACTCGGCTTAACATACGATCACAGTACAGAAATCTAATTTGAAACCAGTTGGGAAAAATTTCCAAACGTTTACGTTTTTCACAGGCACCAGATAAACCTTGAACCAGCCATTCTCACAATTCACTGATGCATCACCGACACTGACAGTAGGCTACAGTCTGGTAGCGAGTGATGAACCAGTCAGCTCTGAGACTGTAGGTTGAGCTTTTCCATAAGTGAGAAAATAGCTATGAAAGCAGTTGTAATCAAAAATTAGAAAAGACACGTAACTGCCTGCAACTGATAGCATAGGGAAACTAAAGATGTTTCAGCAGATACTTTATTAAATTTTATTTGTATGCTTGAGTTACATTATCCTTCTTAAAATAATACAAGCAACATACTGGGGAGGGAAAAAGAAGGCAGTTAAAGCTGGGGTGGAAGGGGCACGCAGGAGCAGTTACAGCTGCCACTGTTGCCTTCAAGGGTAGAGGAGGCAACTTTATTGCAGGTAAAAGGTCTTTTGATGTAAGGAATGGGAGCTATACCCCATTCCTAGACCAAAAGCTATTACCACCCATTCTCCATACTTGTGTGACCCTCTACCAAGTTAACACACGATCTGGGAAGGTTCCTTGATGATGGTGAGGGGCTCTGGATCTAGGGAATTGGGATCTGTGCTCCAGATCCCTGAATTGAGTCGGAAGGTATTCAGACTCAATTCAGGGAACTTGAGCAGATTCAATTCCTTGGATCAAGAGCCCCTCGCCAGCATCAAGGAACCTCCCTTGAGGGGACTAAACGTTCACAAGTGTCTTCCATATGTATGGGTCAGAGAGCTACCTGAATGTAATTACTGTAATCAAATTAAATTCTAAACCCATAAGGGTGATGCAGCATTGCATCCTGAACATAATTTGGTAGACGGTCTTCATAAAAGACTCTAGTTACCTCTTGTTAACCACGGTAATGATTTACCTCTAATTGTGAAGAAAAACTTTGAGCAGCTGTAAGTGACTAGTGTCAGTTTCAGTGCATCTTGAATCCATTAAGTTCTTCCTCTTTTGCTCTCAAACAATAAGTTACCCTCTTAAAAGGTTAAGTAGAAATTACTCCTTTACAAGTCATAACTTTTACTATATCCAAGGACCATCCACTTTATATTAAATTTAATCACCTAAATTAGTTCACATTTATTGCATATTGTGTTAAATCATTACTTTTTTCTATATCCATTAAAGTATTTGTAAACAAAAATCTGATGGAATGATAACTGGACACTGTTGGCTTGCTTCTTATTCATGTGTACGAACACTACCGTCTTCTATATCAATGGTGGCCTCGGCACCCAGTGGCTCTGTGATGCTTATGTTTTCTCCTGCAGAATGAACCTTAATTATAACAACTCGCAAAACAGTAATACAATTGGAAGCAAATCACGGAATGGGTGTTGCTTGAAGCCGCCAATTGTGGGTTTAGCTCTTAATTTTGAGTATAATAACAACTTAACCCACCATAACTTGAACCTGCCATGGACTCAAGCCTCCACCCAGTCCCTGATTTGATTTCTTAATTTTAATAATAATCATGAACGTAATAACATCAATGTATAACCCTTTCAGGTTTAGCGCGCACTCCTGAATATATATTCACTGGTAAGTAAACATAATTCACTGGAATAATTCAAAAATTACCTTCACTCAGTAGAGGAAACTAGACAACTTTTCATTTGATCATGGGCCATTGTCAAGTTACAACACAGCAGGTAAAGTAGAGAAGACCAGACAGTAGGTGGAGGAATAAGGAAATACAGTGGACCCCCGGTTTACGATCAGCTCCCAATGCGACCAATTATGTAAGGGTATTTATGTAAGTGCTTTTGTACGTGTATGTTTGGGGGTCTGTAATGGACTAATCTAATTCACAATATTCCTTATGGGAACAAATTCGTTCAGTAATGGCACCTGAACATACTTCTGGAATGAAATAATATCGTAAACCGGGGTCCACTGTACTATATGGTTAGTAGCAGTAAGGGTAGTAATGGTGTAGTAGTGAAAGAATTAGTAGTAATGGTAAATAAAAAAAAAGTGTGGAGAAGCAGTGCAGAAAGCCTACTGGCCCACTCTGGGCAGGATTAGTGATAAAGTAATGAGAGTTATATCTCAAGGTGGAGATCAAAGTAGGTCAACACTAACACCTGTCTAGGGGTGGAAGAGCACTTCAGTAGGTCCATGCTAGGAAAGAAAAAGATAGCAAGAGGAGAAAGAAGACAGGAGAGGCAAACGAAACAGAAGATAGGTTGAGAGGAAAGGAAAGGTGACAGTGGCAAAGCTCAGGTCTCAAGTCACAGAACCAGTAGGGCCTTGAACCAATGGCGAGTGAGTCTTAAAACTCACAGGCCAGTGCATTAACCACTGAGGCCAGCTGGCCAGTGTGTTAACCACTGGGCCAGCTGGCCAGTGTGTTAACCACTGGGCCAGCTGGCCAGTGAGTTTTAAGACTCCATTCCGCAATTTGTTTGCCATCGTGTTATTAAAATTCTGAGAGTCCTTAATACTCTTGTTTGTGAATTCAAGAAGGGTAGATGGTTTCTTCAGAGGACCAGGTAATACAACAGCTGTGATCTCTAACATGACAAAAAAGATCATTGATGGTGTCAACATGGCAAGTAAGCATTTCTATTGTGTTAAGTCGGTCAGATTATTATTATTATAATCAAGGGGGAAGCGCTAAACCCGGAGGATTATACAGCGCCTGGGGGGGGGGATGTGGAAGGCATTCAGGCTTAATTTGGGGAACTGGAGCACAGATCTAATTCCCTAAATCAAGAGCCCCTCACCAACATCAAGGAACCTTCCTTGAGGGGTAAGTCGGTCAGAGGTTCTTCAAATTCTGAAGATGGACAATATAGGAAAGGCAAGGAACAGGAGTTTCTGGAAAAGTTTGGGAGAGAAAAAAGTTTAAGCATGAAAGCAGACAAAGTTTATGAAATAGGGAAGATAGCCAAGGCCAGAGAATGAGCTGTAAAGAGTGGAAGCTTCAGAGTCGAGAAACAGGTGCAGATACAGCGGGGAACATAGAAAGAGAGGAACAAGGAAGCTTTTCTTTGCAGAAGGATCATGGTAACAAGCATTAGGCTTGCATTAAACAAAAATAAGAAAAGGCTGTCAGAGGTGGACATGAAAATTAAGTAGAGGAGACAAAGTTAGATCCCCATTTATCTTTGAACTTGCTAGAAGGAGCAAGATTATATGACTATTACTTGGCACTGTGTGACCCCATTGGGCTTGGCACCTACCTTGATTATAATAAATATATATATTTTTTTTTACTACCATTAGTGCTGTATGGCCCTAGTGGGTTTAGCACTTTTTTTTATACTACTACTACCATTACAACAACTCATCACCACTACAAGTACTACCACCACAACTGCTAATATTACTACCACTCCCTCCCTGTCCTCCTCCTGACCTGTCTTCTGGTCTCCTCTGTTTTTTTTTCATTTTGCTGTTAATTTTCAAGTCGTGATGAGCTGAAACATAAGTTTCCTCTCCAAAGTGTATCTTACTTGTAAACTGGTAAATGATTTGCAATCAGGCTTTATCTGAGGAAAAGCAGGATACCTCCAGTTCCTTAGATGAAGTAGCCCTTATCAGCATCAAGGTAACCGTAAAAAGAACTAAATTTCATAAAAGTGCTGATGAACTATAAATGCAAGTTTGCTCACTACACACATCATGTTCGTACTTTCTATGAAGCACTTTCTCAACTTACTTGTTCATTTACATTGCTCATTGCAGCAATAAGATCACAGTAAACAGGTGTGGTTATTACCAAAGTGAATTTCCAAGTGCTTTCATGATCTCTTACATTATCAAGGAATAATAAAATAATAAGACAGAAGACTTAAAAGGTTGAAATGTGTGAGGTCATATCTTAGCTTTATAAGTCTTCTTATAATGTTGTTATATTTTTTTTATTAACACATTGGCCGTTTCCTACCAAGGCAGTGTTGCCCGGAAAAGAAAAACTTTCTTCATCATTCACTCCATCACTGTCTTGCCAGAGGCATGCTGACACTTCAGTTATAAAACTGCAACAAACACTCCTCCTCCAGAGTGCCGGCACTATACTTCCCATCTCCAGGAATTAAGTCCGGCCTGTTTGTTTCCTTGAAACCCTTCACAAATGTTAATTGCTTACACTCCAACAGCATATCAAGTCCTAAAAACCATTTGTCTCCATTTTCTCCTATCTAACACACACACACGCACACTTGCTGGAAGTCCAAGCCCCTCGCACACAAAACCTCCTTTACCCCCTCCCTCCAACCTTTCCTAGGCCGACCCTTACCCTGATTTCCCTCCACTACAGATTTATACACTAAATCATTCTATTTTGTTCCATTCTCTCTACATGTCCAAACAACCCTCTTCAGCCCACTAGATAATAGTTTTGGTAATCCTGCACTTCATCCTAATTTCCAAACTACGGATTCTCTGCATTATATTCACACCACACATTGCTCTCAGACATGACATCTCCACTGCCTCCAGCCTTCTCCTTTTTGCAACATTCACTACCCATGTTCCACACCCATACAAGACCATTGATATAACTATACTCTCATACATTCCCCTCTTTGCTTTCATGGATAAAGTTCTTTGTCTCCACAGATTCCTCAGTGCACCACTCACCTTTTTCCCCTCATCTTTCATAGACACGTCCGCTGACACGGCCACCCCTAAATATCTGAATACATTCACCTCCTCCATACTCTCTCCCTCCAATCTGATACCCATTCTCTGTTACCTAATTTTTTTGTTATCCTCATCACCTTACTCTTTCCTATACATGTATTCACTTTTAATTTTCTTCTTTTACATACCCTACCAAACTCATCAACCAACCTCTGCAACCTCTCTTAAACTTTGCATTAGATTCTTTATTTTTTAAACCCCCACACCTCTTGCCAACACCCAAGCATTTACTTCTCTTACAACTCCAACTATAAATATACTGAACAACCATGGTGACACCACACATCCTGTCTAAGGCCTACTTTTACTAGGAAATAATCTCCCTCTCACCTGCATACTCTAACCTGAGCCTCACTATCCTCGTAACGACTGTTCACTGCTTTCAATAACCTACCTCCAGTTCCATACATTTGCAACATCTTCCACATTTCTCCCCTATCCACCCTATCATATGCCTTTTCCAAAATCATTAATGCCACAAAAATATCTTCACCCTTATCTAAATACTGTTCACCTATATGTTTCACTGTAAACACTTGGTCTACACACTCCCTACCCTTCCTAAATCCTCCCTATTCATCTGCTATCCTATTCTCCGTCTTGCTCTTCTTTCAATAATAACTACCATATGCATTACCAGGTATACTCAACAGATTTATTCCCCTATTATTTTTGCACTCTCTTTTGTCTCCTTTGCATGCTCTCTGCCACTCCCTAGGTGCCACACCCTCTTCCATACATTTATTAAATAACAGCACTAACCACTCCAAAATTATATCTCCACCTGCTTTACCCCTTTTCATTCTACCCACTGCCCCATGCACTTCTTCCACACTCACAACTGGCTCTTCCTCACTCCTACAAGATGTTATTCCTCCTTGCTCAGTACACAAAATCACAGCTTCCCTGTCTTCATCAACATCTAACAATTCCTCAAAATATTCCCTGGATTTTCCCAATACCTCTAACTCTCCGTTTAATAACTCTCCTCTCCTATTTTTGACTAACAAATCCATTTGTTCCCTAGGCTCTCAACTTATTAATCTCACTCCAAAACTTTCTTTTTTTTTTTTCAACAAAATCTGTTGATAAGAGCTCACCCACTCTCATTTGCTCTCTTTTTACATTGCTTCACCACTCTCTTAACCTCTTTTTCTCTCCATACACTCCTCCCTCCTTGCATCACTTCTACTTTGTAAAAGCCTTCTACAGAAGCTTTCTTATGTCTTCCTTGATAATGTGAGAAATCATGAAAAACACTTCGAGATTTTGCAATTTTTTTTCACTGGTTATATTTTGAATATGGATCACTGCAATTGTGCTATTCACTCCAAGAGCAAAATGTCACTCAGTGAGCCTCACTCTGTCCACATTACCCTGTCTACATTACTCTACGTTACCTTGTCCATGTGTCTGATTCAATATTTGTCGACTTATGCTCAAAATGCAAATCCCTGTCACATAACTTACTAGTGGAATACAGAGCATTCTGGAAGTGGAGAGTGCTGCCGTATCCAGCAAGTTTTGGTTTCTTCTTCAAGTAGGTGTAAGCTGTGTATCCAAAAATGGCTGCCACCAACACCACAGCCAGAGTGATACCAAAGATGCTGCCACCAGTCAGTGGACTACTGCTCCCTGTGGAAGAGGAGCCTGGTAGTGCAAGAACATATATCTACATGTAAGTGATGCAGTGAGATCACAGTAAACAGGTGATACCACAATATGCAAAATAATCAGTGAAAAAGTTGAGAAATTCCAAGTGTTTCATGATTTCTCAATATATCAAGGAATAATGATTGTCTTGATAATGTGAGAAATCACAGGTGTTTGGAATTTCACAATTCTTCCCTCTGGATATTTTGCATGCTTATATATACTATACATAAGACACTACTATAATGCCACAGGCAAGGGGCTAGTAACCCCTTCTCCTGTATACATTACTAAAGTTAAAAAGTGAAATTTTCGTTTTTCTTTTTGTGTCGCCCTGCTTCGGTGGAAGGATACGGCTGGTTTGTTGAAAGAGAATTTTAATCAGAGAAGTGCTAAACCCATGAAGGTCCCATAAAGTTTGGGGAATGAATGCTTTCAGATTTGTTTCAAGGGGAGGGTAAATTCAGTCCCTTGGATCAAGAACCCCTCACCAGCATCAAGGATATCTCCCCCTTCCCCTATTTGATACAAAATATCATACCATTTTGAGAGAAAAAAAGTGTCAAAATGACACTTCTAAACAGGATTAACAAGCACATTCTTCTAGGCAGGATACACAAGTATTGAAAGCCAGTCTACAGAAGCTTTTTCCCCTCAAGGAAGGTTCCTTGATGTTGGTGAGGGGCTCTTGATTTAGGAAATTGGATCTGTGCTCCAGTTCCTTGAATTAAGCCTGAATGCCTTCCACATCCCTCCCCAGGCGCTGTATAATCCTCCGGGTTTAGCGCTTCCCCTTGATTATAATAATAATAATACAGAAGCTTTTTAAGGTTATCACATGGAAAACCAATTGCTATACAAATCATCACTTAGTAATAGTGTGAAATTTGAAAGCCTATTGATTATTCACTGACAATATTGTGAAAAACACTTTAGGAATGTCATAAAGGAACGAGAGGTACAGGACTCTATGGACAGATTGTTGTGCGACAGAAGTCAGTGACTCTCAAGCTGGTCCTAGTGGCATTAAAAGAAGAAGGGAAGTAACCCGGGAAAATAGACTTGCTACTCAAGTCCTAATGGAAGGGGATTCCCCTTCTAAACACTAAGACCATCCACTCTCCCCCTCCTCCCTATCCCATCAATCATCACCAGATCTTCAATAAAGGTAAGTGTCATGTAACTGTGCATTTCTTCAGTTTGTGTGTATTAAAATTAATATTTCATGTGGTAAAAAATTTTTTTTTTTCATACTTTGGGGTGTCAGAAATGGATTAATTTGATTTCCATTATTTCTTATGAGGAAAATTAATTCGCCTAACGATAATTTCGCCTAACGTTGAGCTCTCAGGAACGGATTAATATCGTTAGGCGAGGGTTCCACTGTAACATGTTTACATTATCATTTGTTAAGTGAGCAACAGAACTCGACCTTAAAAATTCATGTACAGCGCACATTTCTTACCTTAATATATTTTCGTCCTTAGCTTATAGTGAGTGGTAAATATATTTATTGTAGGAAGTCTGAATAAATGAAGAATGGATATAACTGAAAACCATTGCATTTAGCGAAACACTGTAAAGCGAAGCTTCGTAAAGTGACACCAACCTGTATAAGAAATTTTCGTAACACAAATTTTTCATCCGGGAAACTAAAGGATTAAGATTATTATGATTGAGGGAGAACAGTTGTAGAGCTGCCAGCGTCGTGAGACGTGCAGAGTGTGATGACAACCATGAGTAATGGATTGAGTTGATATTACGAATACATGTATGTAGTACAGTGGACCCCCGCATAACGATCACCTCCCAATGCGACCAATTATGTAAGTGTATTTATGTAAGTGCGTTTGTACGTGTATGTTTGGGGGTCTGAAATGGACTAATCTACTTCACAATATTCCTTATGGGAACAAATTCGGTCAGTAATGGCACCTGAACATACTTCTGGAATGAAAAAATATCGTTAACCGGGGGTCCACTGTATATGTATATAAAGGTACTTACATTTGGAAGAAAGGCGATTAGTGTTACTGTCAGCAGTGAGAGGCAGGACGGTGGAGACATCTTGAACTGTACCAAATAGTAATAATGATACTGATGATAATAGCAATAATATTAAAAATATTAGTACTAATAATAACTATACTACTACTACTAGCTACTGCTACAAGTACATGTACAAGGTATACAAGTACATGAACAAGGTATACAAGTACATGAACAAGGTATACAAGTACATGTACAAGGTATACAAGTACATGTACAAGGTATACAAGTACATGAACAAGGTATACAAGTACATGTACAAGGTAAAACAAGTACATGTACAAGGTATACAAGAACATGTACAAGGTATACAAGTACATGTAACAAGGTATACAAGTACATGCATAAGGTATACAGTACATGTACAAGGTATACCAGTACATGCACAAGGTATACCAGTACATGTACAAGGTATACAAGAACATGTACAAGGTATACAAGTACATGTACAAGGTATACAAGTACATGTACAAGGTATACAAGTACATGCATAAGGTATACCAGTACATGTACAAGGTATACCAGTACATGCAACAAGGTATACAAGTTACATGCACAAGGTATACAAGTGCATGTACAAGGTATACAAGTGCATGTACAAGGTATACAAGTACATGTACAAGGTATACAAGTACATGTACAAGGTATACAAGTACATGAACAAGGTATACAAGTACATGTACAAGGTATACAAGTACATGTACAAGGTATACAAGTACATGTACAAGGTATACAAGTACAAGGTATACAAGTACATGCATAAGGTATACCAGTACATGTACAAGGTATACCAGTACATGCACAAGGTATACAAGTACATGTACAAGGTATACCAGTACATGTACAAGGTATACCAGTACATGCACAAGGTATACAAGTACATGTACAAGGTATACCAGTGCATGTACAAGGTATACAAGTACATGACAAGGTATACAAGTACATGTAAAAGGTATACCAGTACATGTACAAGGTATACAAGTACATGTACAAGGTATACAAGTGCATGTACAAGGTATACAAGTACATGTACAAGATATACAAGTACATGTACAAGGTATACAAGTACATGTACAAGGTATACAAGTACATGTACAAGGTATACAAGTACAGGGTACAAGGTATACAAGTACATGTAAAAGGTATACCAGTACATGTACAAGGTGGAAATATAAACACAAATGCAGTATAATGTGATCCTTTATTGACAACGTTTCACCCACACAGTGGGCTTTTTCAAGTCACACACGGATCTACCTGGGGTTGGAAGGTACGAGAGTATTTATAGTCATGTTCAGAATGTTGAGGTCAGGTGGAGAATGCTGCATCTGATGATCTACCGGGTGGGGTTATAGAGTCTTGGGTAGCTTGGCAGGGGTATTGGACAAGTTGTAGACCTTCTGCAGTGTTCTATGTTCTTATGTGGGATAGCGATGAAGAAGTTTCTTGGCGAGTGGTTCAGCTATGTTATAGAAGCCATTGTTCTGGTTGAAATTGTTGGTTGTAGAGATGAGGATGATTCCAGGATTCTTCTGTATTGAGTGTTGTTTCTGTGGCTATAAGTTTTGAGTTTCTG